ATACACCACACACACACACACACACACACACACACACACACACACCCTGCAAACTACACTAGATCTGTTAGAGACTCTCACTGAACTCCACATGCAACGTTCCATTTGTAAGCACGATCACTGTGAACCATTCCCCAGTAGGCGGCTACAGCAAGACGATAAAGACTATTGATTTTTACACATCTAACACCACGCCTGACTTTCAGGTCTCGACAAAGAATATCTGAATGAATGCCTAATTATCCCATCATGGAGGACCGCGCCTGCTTACAAATAGGCTCTCCATAACTACAAAGCTACAATGAAAAAATATGCTCACCACACTGAAAATAAATGAAGGAGCCCTGCCGTGGTATGGAAGGTGTCACCACCCCGGTTAGAGGCAGTCCTGATGCTTGCAACATGCCAGGTCCAGTAGCGAACAGGAGATGCTCTGCCCTCAAGGGAGTTCGGAGCCAGCAGATCCCCAGGCCTCTGGCAAGGGACGACAATTAGAGCCCAGAGCAAGGTGCTCCCTGGGGTGGGAGAAGGGATGGGTGAGGTGGAGGGCTATAAACAGAAACAGACAGCAAACTGAGCTGTCACTCAGTGGGGTTGTTAATAAATGAGGCAGCCCCTCGAGGCATCCCTAGAAAACCCAAGAAGCCACCGAAGAAAATGGCAGTTCTGTGCAGTGTGAGGACGCTAACTAAACAAGTTATTGTTGTAACTGACTCTGCCGGTGCCTGTCCCTAATCGGCATTCCCCACAAACCGATATTAAGAAAATACAGCGATCGAGAGCCACACCGTGTGATTCTAGATAAGAGTGCATGCCTATCACCAGGCACCTGAGAGGACTCCACTCCCCATGCCCGGCAAGGAGAAAGCCACAGAGCTGAAAGCAGGACATGCGCTGTGTTCTCTTTACTGCAAGTGGTGTCTCTTAGGGTGACTATCGCTGTGATGAAACACCACGCCCAAAGTAACTTGGGGAGGAAAGGGTCTATTTCACACACACTTCCAGGATATCACAGTTCATCATCAAAAGCAGTGAGGGCAGGAACTCAATCAGGGCAGGAACCTGGAAGCCGGAGCTGATGCAGAGGCCGTGGAGGGGTGCTGCTTACTGGCTTGCTCCCCACGGCTTGCTCAATCTGCTTTCTTATAGAACCCAGAACCAACAGCCCAGGCATGACACCATCCACAATGGGCTGGGCCTTCCTCCATCAATCATGGATTAAGAAAATATCCTACAGGCTTGCCTGCAGCCTGATCTTATGGAGGCATTTTCTGAATTGAGGTTCCCTCCTCTCTGATGACTCTAGCCTGTGTCAAGTTGCCATAAAACCAGCCAGTGCAAGGTGAAAATTTTTGGAATTAAAAAAAAAAAAAGTCAATATTGGGAACAGGAGGAGCATCTTCACCTGTTTCCTAGTTTCATGTCTTGTTACTGTTGTAAAACACCCTGACCCAGGCAACCTAGAAGGGAAAGCGTTCCCTTTAGCTTACAGTCTCAGGTGACAGTCCATCACCGTGGGGCAGTCAAGGCAGGAGCCCGAAGCAACTAGTCACACCCACAATCAAGAGCAGAGAGAGTGAGGATGAATGTGTGCATGTTTCATACTTAGCTCACTTCCTCTACTCTTACACAGTCCAGGACCCCTAACTAGGGAATGATGTCACCCATAGTGGACTGGGTCTTCCTGCATCAGTTAACATGAGTCATCAAAACATCTAGGCAATCTTTAACTGAGACTCTCAGGTGACTCTAGGTCCTAAGTTGACTCACTCACCATCACAACTGAAAGAGAGATGTAATCAGATTTGGATGCCAACGGAGAGTTGAGGGACACACACCAGTACCGATGGGATAAATACTTTGTCCTGTTGCCCCTCATTATCCATGAGGTCCCTAGAAGATGAGATAAGTGCTCCTGGTCACCAGCACGGGCTCCTGCCACCTCCTCCCCTTCTCTCCGTATCTCCAATGATTCCCCTCTCCAGCCCTGAGGTCCCGGGCTGTTTCTTACCTCATGCTCAGCCAATCGTTAGAGCTCTTCCATTGCTCCCCAGAAGACTCAGCGCATGTGGGAGGCTTTTCTCTAGAATTGCTCCTAAACCTTCTCCACCCACCTCAGACAAGCTGTTACCACCCCACCCATCCCCCCCCCTCTCCTGCTGCAGGGGCTTGCGGTAAACAGCAAGCCCTAACGTGTGGGATCGGTAAACAGCAAGCCCTAACGTGTGGGATCGGTAAACAGCAAGCCCTAACGTGTGGGATCGGTAAACAGCAAGCCCTAACGTGTGGGATCGAGTGAGGGCCTACTCTACACAGGAATGACTGTTCCGTTGGCCATCTACCTCAGTGTCTCTCACACACATACTGCACGTGGCGGAGCAACAGCCACACATTTGGATTTTCATCCCCCGCCATGAGTGATGACGATGTTCTACAATTTCGCCCTTTAGGTGGGATGTCCCAGTGGTGTCGTCTGCTCACTGTCTCCTGCTTTGTTAGGATGAGTTAGTTCTGGGAAGGGTGGGGCTCGTGGGCTGTCTCCCTCACCTGACTCTCCTGTGAGCCATAACCATGGGCCCGCATGTGGGGCCAGAGGTGAGCTGGAAACCTGGTAGCCATGACTTCTACCCCAGGGCCTGCAGAATAGGGAGATGGCCACAGGAAGCAACGTCGGGCTACTTCCGTGACCAGCGGCCTATGCAGCCACCCACAGAAAGAGGCACTGCTTACCCAGAAACTTCCTGCCCCTTCTCACAGAACACTGGCTCTGCATTCTGGGCTCAACTGCCACTAACTGCCCACTCCTCGGACTTCCTGGCCTCTCACTGGGCCCATTCCCGTCTACAACTTAGATACAGAACTCCATCCCTCCCAGAGTTCCTGGAGCTCTGTCTCCTTTCAGCAGGCCTCCTCACTCGCTCCACTGGGGCCTCCAGATCAACGCAAGAATAAATTCCTTGCTCGGGCAGGCACTTTGCTAGGCCTCCAAGGGCCTCTGCAAGCATTAGGCTCCACCTTTCTCCTGAGCCCCTCTAGCCCCTGAGTTCTTCAAAGTCAGAGCCAAGGTGCTACTTCCGTTTTATGACCTCAAGGGAAGGAAGAAGCCACAGCAGAGTCAAATAAGCCTTCGGAATTGACTCTTCCTTGGACTAGCCCAAGAGCCTCCCTACCTCAAATCCTAAGACTCATGGGCTGTAATGTGCTGTAGGATCTATTGAATCTTAGACTAAGCACCAAGACAAAGTGGTTATGTGCTAAGAAAAAAAGACTTGGGAGGTAGCAGGACCATTCCCAGAGCAGAAGCATGACATAAGGAGAAAGTCCAAGAGGCCTTGAGTGGGCAGGAGAGTCAGGAAATAGGATGGGCATCAGGCTCTTGAATTTGGGGTCTGGGGGAGATCCACAGAGACAGGCTCCAGGGTCAGACAGAACAAGGCCAGGGTATAATCCTAGAAATTCCAGGAGGGATGGGACCTAAGGCTTGGACCAGCTGCAAGGAGGAAGGAATCCACAGCAGGACCGAGAGGAAGCTTTGAGGAGCTCAGATGAAGCTACCCAGGCTCTAATTAGACATTTGTGACCACGGCCAGGGACAGCTGTGGGCAACCAAGGGCATGGGTGTTAATGTGGACCTGTTCTCGCTACATCAGGAGCCTTTGGATGGTTTTTAACTGGGGAGATGGTAAGATCTCATCTGTGTCTGGAGGGTGGTGGACTAGGAGGAGAGATCAGAAATGAGGTAAATGGTTAGCTGCCTGGGCAGATCGTATGAAACACAGAGAATGCTCTGGAAGTGTCCACGGAAGGGATTCCCGCTTTGAAGACTGGCAGGAAGCTGCACCGTGACAAGATTTCATCTTGACATATGAAACCCCAAGAACACCTCATCGCACTCACGTTAATGTTGGAAGGCCACACGTTTCGGATCCACCCAGGGTCTCTCATGATTGGAATCTGAAAAACAAAAAAGGTTAGAAGTTAATTTAGAGACATCAGTTAAGCAAATCATGACCCGGGCCCTGTTTACAAGTCAAAGTCTTTATGCTTTTAAGGACTGAGAATAAATTTTGGGGGGCTGGGGAATATGACTCAGTTAGCAAAGTGCTTGCTGACAACCACGAGGAACTGAGTTTGATCTCTAGGACCCACATAATAAAATTGAGCATGAGAGCATGAGTCTGTAATCCCAAATCCAAATCCAGCCAGTCTAGCCAAAGCGTTTACAACCCTGGCCAGGGAGAGAGATCCTGTCTCAAAAACCCAAGATGGGGTCTAGGGAGCTGGTCCAGTGGGTAAGATCATTTGCTGTGCAAGCTGAGGACCTGAGTTCGAGTCCCTAGCACTCACTTTAAAAATAAGGCGAGCATGGCAGTGTGTATGTATAATCCTAACACTGGGCGTGTGGAAAAGGCAGGTACCAGGGGATCACTGGTGAGCTGAAGCAGTGAGCCCGTCTCAGGGAAACAAAAGGAAGAGTGATGGAGGAAGCCATCAGATCGTCTCTGGATTCTGCATATGCATTGATGGGCATTCACACACACAGAGAGAGAGACAGACAGACAGACAGACAGCACAATAACCGTATGCAGTGGCTCACATCTGCTATCCCATAGCTCAGAAAGCTGAGGCAGGAGGATGACAGTTGTTTGTGGCCCGCTTAGGCTCCATAGCAAATTCCAGGCCAGCCTGGACTATAGTACGAGTGAGATCCAACCTCAAAAAACAAAACCATTAGCAACAAAAAGCGTTTTTAAAAGAGTCCATAGGAACGCTCTAGAATTGGCCGGCAGTGGGGCTTTGGGAGCCAGTGACAGTGCTGAAAACCACAGGATGGAGCGCTTTAGCAGAGAGAGTCCCAGCTCAGCCTCAAACAAGAATTCAGGGCTAAGCAGCATGTGGTGACTTTCCTTGGCACTCCGAATGTGATGTGGTCATAGACCCCCTTCCTCCCCCCCCTCCCTCCATCCTGTCATCCTACAGGAAACACACACAACCTCTGGGTGAAGCCACAGGTCAGGCGGGGAGAAAGCAATGGGATCAGAAGTCAGGACAGAGTGCCTCAGTGCAGCCACACCTGGCTCTTAGGTGTGTGTCGCGGCACATGGCTGGCCGGCTTGGTCTCCTCTAAAAGGGGGGCAAAACCTAGCTCCCCAGTATAGCTACCAGTACTCCTGGTGCGGTGCGCCCACACTGAGAGACCACCCCATCTCCATCAGCCCTGCCCAGAGTGTATCACCATGTGGGTTAGCTCAGCTTTCTAAAGGACGTGCCAGCTATCCAAGGCCTTTCATTAATGACACCCCAATTTCGTTCAGAACACGCTTTTCCTAGTTCCCTTCCCCATCGTTGTGATAAAAAGACCCTGACAAACAATGTAAGGGGGAAGGGGGTTATTTCCGCTCACAGTTCAAGTCCATCCTGGTGGAGAAGACGGGACCGCAGAAGCTTGAAGCAGCAGCTGGTCACACTGTATCCATGGTCAAAAAGCAGAGAGTGATGAATGCATGCTTGCTGGCTGGTGCTCAGCTCCTTTCTCCACTTTATACCATATAGGATCCCCTGCCTAGGAAACGGTTCCGCCCGCAGTTAAAACGGGTCTTCCCATATTATTTCACGTGATCAAGATAGTCCCTCACAGGCATGCTCGGAAGCCCATTTATCTCCCAGGGGATTCTGGATTACGTCAAGTTGATGATCGACACTCACCATCAGCATAAGTGATTGAAAATCAACTAATACGCCAGGTGGTGGTGGCGCACGCCTTTAATCCCAGCCCTCGGGAGGCAGAGTCAGGCGGATCTCTGTGAGTTCGAGGCCAGCCTGGACTACCAAGCGAGTTCCAGGAAAGGCACAAAGCTACACAGGGGAACCCTGTCTCGAAAAAACAAAAACAAACAAGCAAAAAAAAAAAATCAACTAATACAACTCTAACAACCTCCTCCTTTCCCATCTTGTACCTCTTTGGCTGGGTCGGCTTTTCCAACCCATGCTTGTTGGCAGACTGCTGGTGAATGGTGGTGTTGCACATCATTTTGTGTCGAGTGCCTGTCAGGGTCCTGTGTGTGTCTTGGTTCTGAGAGCACAGAGATGGGTGAGGTGGGATTCTCCTCCATGAGTCACTAAGGACCATTGGCAAGCAAGAAGGCAAGTAAAAAATGTGCGTGGCCAAGGTGACCTTCAAGAGATGCCCCGCGTGATGGCTACTGTTAATCACCAACTTGGAAGGTTCTAGAATCAGCTTCCAAGGGTGTCTCAATGAGAGACTGTCTAGATCAAGTTGGTGATGAGGGGAAGACTATCTTGGTTGTGTTAACCGAGGTGGGAAAACCTTCCCACCATGGGTGAGACCATTCCCTAGTCAGGAGATCCTGGACTGTGTAATAGTAGAAAAAACACTAGCATGCATGCCTTCATTGCCCTCTGCTCTTGACCAGTGATGTAACGTGACCAGCTGCTTCAAGCCCTTCCTGCCTCAGTTTCCCCACAATGATGGACTGTAACCCGGAATTGTGAGCCAAATAAACCCTTTGACCCCCAAGTTGCTTTCGTTGGGTATTTTATCACAGAAACTGAAAAGGAGACTAAGATACCTAGGGAATAGTGAGAGCACAGAGCAGAAAGCCAGCCAGCCACCTACCTCCAGACTCAGACTGGAGAAAGCTCCACATCATGAGCAAAAGATATCATTTGCTGTTGCTTATGCTTTGGGGGGGGGGGCGCCACCCAGCTCCTGAATAAATCACATGCAGAGGCTTATTCTTAATTATAAATATCTGGCCTTAGCTTGGCTTGTTTCTAGACAGTTTTCCTTAACTTACCTTATCCCATCTACCTTTTGCCTCTGGACTTTTTCCTTTTCTTACTTCTGCATATCTTACTTTTGCTCTTACTCCATGACCGGTTGGCTGGCCCCTAGTGTCCTCCTCTCTCGCTCCTTCTTTTTCTTCTTCCCAGTTTCTCCTTCTATATATTCTCTCTGCCTGCCAGCTCCACCTATCCTTTCTCCTGCCTTGCTATTGGCTGTTCAGTTCTTTATTAGACCATCAGGTGTTTTACACAGGCACAGTAACACAGTCTCACAGAGTTAAACAAATGCAACCTGAACCAAAGTAACACACCTTCAAATCATATTCTACACCACCATCTGGCACACCTCCTAAGGCTGAGTATCTCCCCGGGAGAAGCATGAAGACAAGGCTTCTACAAGCATGGAAGGGGGCTACTCAAAGAACAGAGGTCCAAGCCCCCAGTGGGGGCGGGCTGTGAGTGCAGAAACCTGCAGTATTCCCAGGAGCGAAGGGAACAGGTGGCTTCTAGGATGAGGATCCAGAGGAGTTCAGACTTCTGTGGGCCCTGTCTTCAGCATCTTAAGAACATGTTTCTCAAAGGAGAGACCCTTCCGGGAGACTAAGAAGAAACCAACAAAGAAGAACCCACCCAGATCAAATCTGGATAAGGCCTCAGGATTCCCCATCTTGTCTAGAGAAAATCTCTAGACCACAAAACAAGAGAAATGAGGGGATGAGAGGTGTGGGTCTCAAAAGATCTCCATGACCTCTGTGAGGAGGACGGCCAGGAGGCAGAGAACTGAGACACCACACATGGCCAGGCTAGGGCTGAGGCACCACGGGTCCTTGGGACAAAAGGAGGGATACTCACGGATAAGTGTTATTCTCACCCCTCATCAGATAAACTTCTCTTTGCAACAGAGACCATTATAGAAAACACAGAAACACAAAACACAGAAAACAAGAGATGATGTGGTGTCCAGTTGCAACCGATACACCTACAACATAGTTCCTTGTTCAGGAAGCCATATTGTTTAGGAAGCCATGTTGGTTAGATTTCATGGGTGCAGCTTCTCTGATATTTCTAGGAGACACAACCTCACACCAAATTTTCTGTTCCTCTGGCCCTTCCGATCTCCCTGCCCCCACTTCCGCAATGACCCCATGGCACCTAATGACAGCCTAGTTTGAAATGATCACTGCCTCTGACATGCTTCCAGTTGCTGTTGACCATCTCCAGCAAAAGCTACAAGGAGATGTCCAATTTGAACTCAGCCATTTGAGAACTGCTAACTCAAACTCTTAAGGGTCCACAAACACGGTCATGCGCACAGCAGCCTCTCAGAAGGACAGCTGGGTAGCTTTCCCTCCCATGTGGTTGGCCAAGAAAGCTGACATCAATTTTAAATTCACAGCGAGTTCATTTATCCCTGATTAAAGATGAAATTTCAGATCAAACTCCAAAGCTGCTGTTCTACCAACAGGGGCACAGTGTCTCTAATGCTACCTCCCACAGAGAGTTGGTTTGATTTTGTTTTTGTGTGTTTTTTTTGTTTTGTTTTTTTGTTTGTTTGGTTGGTTGGTTGGTTGTTTTTTTGAGACAGGGTTTCTCTGGGTAGCTTCATCCCAGCCCTTCACAGCTTCCTCTCGGTCCTGCTGTGGGTTCCTTCCTCCTTGCAGCTGGTCCAAGCCTTAGGTCCCATCCCTCCCTGCATCTCTAGGATTATACCCTGGCCTTGTTCTGTCTGACCCTGGAACCTGTCTCTGTGGATCTCCCCCAGCTTTGCGCCTTTTCCTGGAACTCGTTCTGTAGCCCAGGCTGGCCTCAAACTCACAGAGATCCGCCTGCCTCTGCCTCCGGAGTGCTGGGATTATAGGCGTGCGCCACCACCGCCCGGCTGGGTTTATCATTTGAGCCTAAATACGGAAACACCAAAGGTGGCAGAAGCGTGTGTCACGCCACAGGCTCTACCGGTCACATGGTGAGATGGTGGAGTGGGGGTCGGACTGCCGGTGCCCCAGCCTTCCGCCTCCCAGGGCTTCCCCAGAAAATCACAAAAACAGTGCAAGGGAGGGCTTGGGAGGTAGCGCCAGGAGGGTATGACATTCAAGGTCATCCTCAACTGCACAGAATGTGAAGCTACCCAGGGCTACCAGGGACCATGT